TTCGTCTCTCTCTCTCTCTCTCTCTCTCTCTCTCTCTCTCTCTCTCTCTCTGAGACCTCAACTTCTCAATTCCTGAACTCCGCCTGTCCGTCTGATCGATCCATCTCCGTCTCCGCCTCTACATCCTCCACCGACGTCTAACGTCTCGTCTTTCCTCTCATCGAGAGTATTCTCTCTGCAGCGAGTTGATCTCCTGCCACTACCACTCCACTCCCACTCCACCCCCACGCCCCCAACCAGCGCCAACACAATGTCACCCATAGCCCGCAGCGCCATCCTCTCCGCGCTCGCACGCACCCGCGTCCCCCGCGCAAGCGCCACGCAGTTCCGCTCCGTAGGCTCGTCGGCCATCCCCCGAGCCGTAGGCGGACAGGCAGCCTGGGGTGCGCACTGGAAGAAGTCGGGCAGCGTGGCGATGATGTGAGTGGTTTTTTTTTCTCTCGGCTGGAGCGAGCTGGTGGGAAACTCGGGACTCGGGATTCGACGCACGCTGACCCGGGGTCCGTCTCTGCACAGGTATTTCCCCGTCGTTGCTGTCGTTATGTTCTGGCCTTATGCGGTGCCGCCGGTTATGGATTACGTTGAGGCGAGGCTCTGAGGCGATTGTGAAGGGGGAAGGGGGAAGGGGGAGTAAGGGGGGTGTAGACGGAGACGCGTTGGGACGAGGGTAGTGGAACCTGGGAAGGAATGGTCCTGGTGTGATTACGTCGGGGCGTTTTGCAACTGCCACTTAGGTCATTCATTCATCCATCCATCTATCCATCCATCTGGGAATGGCATATCGGGCTGAAGAGTTGGACATTCATCACCCGGAATACCTATCAAGTGCATGCATCTATAGAAATCCACATGAATACCCCGATCAATGTCGCGACTGGCACCGGATCCCAAAATCTGCTCTGGAGATGAACAAATGCGCGAACGGCGAGGCAAGCGGCGGTAGCATGGGTTAGGTTGGGTTGGGTTGGGTTGGGTTGGCATATATACATTCTCTTCCGCAGAACCGGTAAAGAACAGTAAAAAAAACACTTGAAAGTTGAGAAAGAAAGAAAGAAAGAAGAAAGAAAGGAAAAGGAAGAGAAAAAGAGAGAAAAAGGGCTGTCTTGTACAGTACAGTGTGAGAGGAGATTACTTGCTAACTAACTAACTAATTAAGTAATCAAACAATCAACCAATCAAACAATCAATCGAAAAGCTGCGTGAGTGAATGATTCTGGACACCTACAACCTGGGATTCTGATGGGGATTATAATGGTTAGTTGGTTGGTTGGTTGGTTGATTGATTGGGCTTTTCTTCTTTTAGGTTGAAGTTAGCTAGCTATTTATCTGTCTGTCTGTCTGTCTGTCTGTCTGTCTGTCTGCACTGATAAGATGAAGGCGCTGAGTTGCTTGCTGCTTATGTGATGGGTTTTGATTTTCTTTGCTTTGCTCTGCCTATCCATCCATCCATCCATCCATCCATCCACCCACCCGCCCCCCCCTTCCCTTCCCTCCCCTTCCCTATGGGAAATCCCAAGGCGGCAGGCAGCCCGCCGCCCGACGTAGATAGATACCTTAGATAGATAAATACAGCAACAATGATAACAACAACAACATGAACAACAATCTACTTTGCCTTTTCTCGTCCGTCCCCTTTCATGTATCTATCTATCTATCTATGCTCGCTGGCTAGCCACGCCCACGCCCATATCCATCAACTCCCGGATCGGATCGGATCGGATCGGATCTGAGCTGATTTGCTACTCTGCTGTCTTCCATCCACCATCCATCCATCTGCCCATCTTCTCTCTTCTTTTTCTTCTTCTCTTCTTTTCTCCTCCTCTTCTCTCTTCTCTCTTCTTCTTTTCTCTCTCTTCTTTCCCCTTCCCGAAAGCGGTTTTCGCCCATCCCATCCCATCCCATCCCAGCCCAGCCCAATCGCTCTCCCAATTCTCAATGCCCACCCCTCTCGATTCAGACCCCCTCCTTATCCGGTTGTTTGGCGGTGTCTGCGTGTCTGCGTGTCTGCGTGTCTGTGTCTGTGTGTGTGTGTGTCTGTGTGTCTGTCTGTCTGTGTTATAGCTGTAGCTGTAGCTGGGCTGGCTGGCTGGCATGGTGCGGGCTACAGGACAGAGCACACGAGGATGGGGATGGAGAGATGCGTTCTGGGGATTGGTTTGTTTTTTTTTTTTTTTTTTTACGGGATTGGTTGGTTTTGGTTGTGGGTGAGCTGAGAAGGGAAGCCACGGCGGCGTTTTTCCGGCGCGGAGCTCGTTGGTTTTTTTTTTTTTTTTTTGTTTTTTTGTTTTTTCTGGCTGACTGACTGACTGACTGACTGACTGGCTGGCTGATAGACTGATTGAATGCAGGCGAGCTGAGAAGGGAGGCCGCCGCCGTGTCAGAGAGGAAGCGTGCGTTTCCTGCGCGCTGGCTGACCGACGGTCAGGCCGAGTTGGGGATGGAAAGGCTGAAGGCGAGCTGAGAAGCAAGGCCTCAGCGGTGTTTCCCGACGAGGTGTTCCTCGCGGCCTTGTGCCCGCCGGTTGATTGGAGGCGGGCTGAAAAGCTTTTCCGGGCTCGCGATGCGATGTTTTATCGTTGGAGCCGGTGAGGAAATGGCATACCGCGGAAGAGGAAGCGGTCCCGAGGAGGACATTCCGAGAAGGTAGGCCGCGCTGGTAGCGAAGAGAGAAGCTCTCCCCCTTTCTTTTTCCCTCTGCCAGCTGATTGAAGGCGAGCGGGGAAGAGCGGCTGAGAGAAGCTTGCGTTTTCTGCTTGCCAGCGGACCAAAGACGGGTTGAAGGTGGTCGGTCGACGGCCGCCAAAGTCCGATTTCTCGATTCACTGTCCATCGATCGTGTGGCTGCTGTGGAGAAGTATACCGCGGCGCGCTGAAGGAAGAAAGAAGAGAACCATCGGCGCCAAGGACCCGAATTGCTCTGCCGGTGTTTTTCGGAGAGGAATCTTCGCGCACTGTGCTCGCCCCGCTGTTTGAGTGATTGATTGATTGATTGAGAAGCAGGTGAGCTGAAGAGGGAAGTGCTCGAATACTCCGAGGCCGTCCTCGATCCCATGTGCATCGATCGTGTAGCTAGCCTGTGGAGAAGCGGCATGCGGCGAGATGGAAAGGGGTGCAGGGAGAGAACAGTCGGTGGAGACGGGAGGCCCGACAGACCGGTGGCGGCGAGAACGGCTCGCGCGCAGGGTCTTGTTTGTTGGTTTGGAGGCCTGGTTTGTTTGCCGGTTGACCCGCGCCTCTGCGGATTGTCGGCGCGCTTTGCTTCCGAGTTGCCTTCTCGTGCTCTCGATTCCCCTTCCCTCCTGTAGCCACAAGATGGAAGGGAAGAGAGCGAGGGGAGGATGGGGGCCAGTCGATTGAAGCCGAGCTGGGTTCAATGGGCAGGCCACGACAGTGTCGGAAAGATATTCTTGGTTCTTGCTTGCCAGCTGGATTGGAAGAAAGCTGGAAAGCTTTCGAGTCCTCGATTCAATTCCATCTTGTAGCCACAAGCCAGGAAAGAGGAGGAAAGAGGGAAACT